ACCCGTGCACGGTCGGGGGTCCGGCGTTCCCGAAACACCCTACCCCCTCCACCCTTTTCGGATGGAGGTCCGGCGGATTGGAAACGCCGGACCTCCGACACCCGTGTTCGGTCGGGGTCCAGCGTTCCCGAAACGCCCTACCCCCTCCACCCTTTTCGGATGCAGGTCCGGCGGATTGGAAACGCCGGACCTCCGACACCCGTGCTCGGTCGGGGGTCTGGCGTTCCCGAAACGCCCTATCCCTTCCACCCTTTTCGGATGGAGGTCCGGCAGATTGGAAACGCCAGACCTCCGACACCCGTGCTCGGTCGGGGGTCCGGCGTTCCCGAAACGCCCTACCCCTTCCACCCTTTCCGTATGGGGGTCCGGCGTGTTGGAAACGCCGGACCTCCGACACCCATGCACGGTCAGGGGTCCGGCGTTCCCGAAACGCCCTACCCCCTCCACCCTTTTCGGATGGAGATCCGGCGGATTGGAAACGCCGGACCTCCGACACCCGCGCTCGGTCGAGGGTCCGGCGTTCCCGAAACACCCTACCTCCTCCACCCTTTTCGGATGCAGGTCCGGCGGATTGGAAACGGACCTCCGACACCCATGCTCGGTCGGGGATCCGGCGTTCCCGAAATGCCCTACCTCCTCCACCCTTTTCAGATGGAGGTCCGGCGGATTGGAAACGCCGGACCTCCGACACCCGTGCTCGGTCGGGGGTCCGGCGTTCCCGAAATGCCCTACCCCCTCCACCCTTTTTCAGATGGGGGTTTGGCGTATTGGAAACGCCGGACCTCCGACGTCGGCACGGATGACGGGGGCCCGGGGGTCGAGCGTTCCCGAAACGCCCTGCCCCCGCCATCCTTCCTGGGTGGGGAGGGGGGCCCATCGGAATGGGAACCCTCGACCCCCTGCCTCGAAAGGATGGCGAGGGTCCGGCGGACTGAGAACGCCGGACCCCTCGACCATGCACGGTTGTCTGGTATGCAGTGTTCCCGATTTCGCAAACCCCCCTTGCCGAAAGGATGGCGGGTGTATGGCAGGTCACGTGCCTTCTTGAATGTCTCGGACCACGTGCAAGTGCTTCTGTGTGTTGCTCATTGCTGTTCCCCTGCCCGTCTTTGTTTTGCCTTTGCCCCCGGCAGGTAAACCTGGTGCGCCGACCTCTGCTCAAAATAAACGGTACGGCAGGTCTAAGACTTACAACGACAAACCGTGGGCTCTTGACTGGGTAGGCGGTTTGCATAAACCGGGGTGTGGGGCTGTTATCTTCTTGAGCGATGACAATGGCGCCACTTGGTACTGTTGTGGGGGTGTGGAGATATCCGAGGTGGGCAGGAAGACCTACGAAGGGAGGACGTTCAGGACCTTCTTCCTCACGTCCATCTTCGACAGCGCTGGGACAGACTGGGTCAAGGAAGACAAGAAGGTCTCCCTTGACCTGCGTCTCTTCCAAGGATACGTCGTCAAGGCTTTCTCCATGAAAGCGTTTGACGTGCGTGGGGACGAAACTGAATTCTGCATGCTTTCTCCGGAAGAATTTCACAGCAAAACAAACGCCACCCGCGTCACTGGCTGCCTTCCTGTCGTCGACAGTTCTTTTCGGATGAGCAAACCTTTGGTCAAATTCAACAGTCCGATGGACCTGCTGCCAGGTGTGGTTAAGCGGTACAGTGAAGACTTCTCGAAGCTGCCGCCAGACCAGCAAGCGGACTGTGTTTTTTTGCCCTTCGAGGCGGGTTCCAAGAGCAGGCGACAAACGCCGTCCGCAACGACAGGGAAGACAAAGCAGTTGTCGGGTGGGCCGTCGGGCGTGAATCTTCCCTCGCCCTCCATGAGGGGAGGTCGTGATTTGGCTCAAGGTTCAAGCAAGGCAACGGAGTTTGATGACAGGCTTCTGCACCAGCGCAATGTTGGCCGTGAAAATTTCCAGGGCAGTGCAGTTGCCCTGGACGAGGACAACGACGAGGACGAGGAAGGAGGAAGTGCCGGCCCGCATGACGACGGCGGTAATGAAGCAGATGTGGAAGGTGGGGATGACAACATGCAGGACCGGGGCGCGCTTGCTGATGAGGACGCCGACACGCCAATGCATGATCATGACATCTCCCCCGCCGGCGCTGTGGGAGCCGCACGTGGTCAGCCCTCGACATCCCGTGGGATTTTGCTATCGCAAAGAAGGAGTAAGGGTGGGCACGACTCACATGCAATGCAAGGACCGAAGGCGAAGAAAAGGACAAAGGAGACTTCTCCGTCTGCTTCTACTCACAAGAGGCAAACCAGGATTGACATTGTTAATGAGGCTCGTGGAGCTTTGACAGCGTCCCAGGAGGCGTGGCCTCCTCGGAAAAACAGCCAAGGGGGGCGATCTGGGGGTCAAGGCGGTGGCCGTGGGGGCGGTGGCCGTGGCGGGGCGCGGAAAGGCTCCCAGAGGGTGAGACCACAGGAGCTGCGGGACTCGGGAGATGAGGGCGAGGGAGTGGATCCTCGCATGCCCGAAGATGCTGATGAGCCGGTTCAGCGCGTCGCGCCCATCGACACTACGCGTTGTTTCTTCCTCGAGTACGACGACCAAGGCTTTGCTACGCAAGACGTCTATGCTCTTCGCGTGGACGTCATGAGAATCAAACGCATTCCCCGCGGAAGGATTCTTTTCAACCACCGCTTGTTGTCTGAAAACATTATGCGAGGCATCGAGAATGTCATCGAAAGCTCCATCAGCACGGACCCGGGGGCGTGGGATAGGCCCGAGCTCGTGCTTGCGCCAGTTGACCGCAATAACATTGTCGACGGCCAGGGAAGACGGATCACGCCGACCGAATTCTTGGAAAGGGACCCGACAGAGTTCAACTGGTATGGTGTCTGTGGTCAGCATACCATTGAGGTCATGAAGAGATTGGTCAGAAAGGACTCCCCGACAGTTAAAGTTTATGGCCTCAACGCGTACTCTAAGGTGCGGGTCGTCTATTTCGGAGATGATCAAACACGAGGGTATTTCAATGTCTCCTGCTTCGACAACACATGCGAAAATCGCTCCATGATGTTGTCATTCCAGGACGCTGTCCGTGACATCAGGCAATGGTGGATAGACAACAATAGAATCGAGGCCCCCAAAGCCAAGGTCAGCGAGAAGGATGAGGTGGCCGTTGCACATCAGAAGACGTGGCAAAACTTCTTGAGGGCCTGCATGGGGAAGACATGCGACAAGGCGTTTGTAAAGCAAGCTTTCGAGAACGCGTACAGTAAGGATTGGGGTAATAAACTTCGGGGCTACATGAACCTTGCCACATTTAGTGTCGCAGTGTGGCCGCTGGTCGAGAAGTTCTTCGAGATGTTCAACGAAGGAAAGCTGTCAGTTGGCGATGGCAAAATCCCGCTTGACATGCCCGGGAGGATGGAAGGCCGCCTGCCAGGCCCGTACACCGACGAGACCAAGGGACAAAGAACATTGTACCATTACATATATGCAACAGATGGTCCCAAAGGCTCCACCGTGTCGTGGAAGGATCTTTGTCCTTCCTACTTCAAAAATTTTGGGGATTTGACATGTCGTGAGAGGGAAGTTGCGTTGCTCCTGCTCATGAAGGGGAAGGTGGTCGCAACGAACGTCAAGGTCTTGCCTCCAAGAGTGAACACAGAGTGTCTCCTCGACGTCATGCGAAAGGAGCGGTACATGGTGCGTATGTTCAATTATCTTCTGTTCCGCGCGGAGGGAAGGGCGGCCGACGAATGGAACGACGCGTTCTTCATGTCGTACAAGGACCTTGAAGACAGGTATAGGCCAAACAGTCTGTGCGCTGCTGAATGGGAGAAGGAACGGGACAAGTTACATGTCAATAAGGTAAAGATGGTCCCTCGACGACTTGGAGGAGTGGAGGAGGCAAGGCAAGGTCCGGGCTTGGGGCCTACGGCGGCAATGTATAAAGAGGCTCCGTTTCACCTTAAGGTCTTCATATACACTGCAATCGATAAGCTCGATTTGCTTCGCGCCGAGGTGAAATGGATCGCCTCCAGCGCGCGTCATATTGTGTGGGACAAGCTTGGCAAACAAACGACGTTGCTACCTGTGTGCATGCCATCAAAGGAAGTGTTGGCAGCGCCCGACGACATCGTCGCTGCAACGCAAAAAATGACATGCAGGGCCGCCATCGTGGACATCCCATCCTCGAACCTCAGCACGGCGTGGACCTCTCACGAATTTGATGCCTTGCACACACTGATGACCAAGTGTTGTGGCTAGAATTGGGTCTTTTTCTTCTTTGCGCCGCAGAAGGTGCAAAGCGATGTTCTGCGTCACTTGTTCCGCTGGGAGGACGTCGAAGTCATCCCCAGGACCTGAAAACGGGTGGACAGGCCGCCGAACGACATCACACAATACGACAATATGGCTACGACGAGTCGAGATATGATGGTCATTGTCCTGCACGCCGAGGGAGGGGATCTAAAAAAAGTAACTGTCAAACCCCGACTCCACAACGACCTCACAACCGTGCACGTTGTGGAGGAGAAGTTCGGGAAGTGTCAAGGAAAACACGGTGGGATAAAGGGCGATGATAGTGCGGTGTATTCCATCTGGGAGCGAGAGCCTGGAAAGTTGCGTTCGCTGTGCGGGTCATTTGTCGAAGAGGCGGAAGGTATGCTTTTGTTGGGTAGAGCGCATGCAGGTCTTGTGTGGGAGTTATTACTGGCAGGTAATAATGTCATTGCCTGCGTCGAGTCGGCCAAGGACATTGCATATCTGACAAAGTTCATCAATATACTAATGAAGGATGAGATATTCGCCTGTCATGTCGAGAAGCCACGTTGCAAACATCGTAGCAACAGGGACATGTTCCACAAGTTGGGACGCAAAAGACTGAAGGTGTGGGAATACCTGTTCCGCAAGGACGGCTTGACGGGAATTACATCTACAGGAAAGCAAAGGTGAGAGAGACCCTGAAACATTATCACGGTGCTCTTACTGGCGCCTTTGAGACTTTTGTTGCTCGATGCGAGATCCTGAAGTTCGATCTTCATAAAGACCAGCTGACGTCCAAGGACTACACTGACCTCGCGAAATCGGGTGATGGCTTTAACCCCGTCGACAGCGAGGAAGACTCTTCGGAGTCCGACTTCGAATTGGGCGAGGATAAGGGTGGTGAAGGTCCGGGCGGTGGCATGGTGCGGTCACACGATGAAGGGACCGTTCGCTCGTATGAAAGACCCATACCGGTGGCCGTCCACAGTGTTGGCTCGATGGTGGCCCCCATGGAGGGCACCGGTTTGCCAAACATGGGAATATGTGGTCCCAATGATGAAGATGACATTGATATGCCAGGCGAGGCGTCGAAGCTCGCACCAGGCGATCCAATTCCTCTCGGCTATTGTGCTGATCCGACCACAATTTATTTCTTGGGGGGCAAACACGCCCGCACTGGTGAGGACAAGTGGGGCCATGACATCGTGTGGCATGAGGGCATTTTTTAGCCTTGCATCCAAGATGGGGAGTGAAAGATGGCGGTCAAATACACACGCGAATGGCAGACGTTTCGCCGGATGTCAAAGGACACTTGGCTGAAAACGACGAAACTCGCGATTATGTACCGCGTGCAAAAGGGGAATCCGGGGCAGAGCGAGGGTGCTATCAAAGACAAGGCCAAAGAATTGTTTTCTGTATTGCGAGACAATCAGCAGTTGGAGTACAGTTGGAAATTTTACTCCCTGCGAACGAGTCCCTCATATGGGTCAATCGACTGGAAGGTCAATCAAACTATCGGAACCATGGAGGAGAGCAGCTTTCAGGATGCCGTGCCTTTGTCGGCATCGCCCTCCGTACCCACGCATGCAGGGCAGAGGGAGGATGGCGGGACTACTGTGGTGAAGACTCAAGAGGTTTACATGACGTCTATGCCGCAAATCTCCGTCGCCACGACAGAACCGTCCAAACGCATGGATGTGTCAAACGCATTGTCACCAGATGCAGGTGCCACGTACGGGAGTTTATTACTGACATGCGTCGCATTAGAAGGCACATCCGAAATGCAGTCAGAGTCAGGTGTTGGCCTGCGCGTGCCGGACTGTCAGTTGCAATCGGAGTTATGCACAGGCAAAGGTGATGCACAATCACCGCTGACACCATAGGGAGGGGCCACTGCGGATGGTGGGAATGGAGGGGATGTGGAGGGAATCCTCCATCCTCGCAATCTTGAGACCTTAACCGATGATTTTGATTATGGGGGTGAGGGTGGAAATGACGTGGTCAATACGAGGGGAGTGTGAAATGATCGGTGAGGCGGGAGGGGGGCAATGGAGAAGGAGAAACCAACGATATGATTACAATGTTATTCTTTTCTTTGTTGATTGAAATCGCACAATTAACTCGTTTGTTTTTAGTTTCAAATGGAACTAGTATTAGTCTTCGCAGGCACTACGACCACCTGATTTTCTTTTATGTATATATATATTTTTCCTCAATATTACGTTCAACCTAAGATGTTTAGGATACTTGCCCTTTTGGACGTGGATGAGTGTTTGTGGATGTATTCGGACTTGGATCTCTCTTTCTCCCTCTCTCTCTCTCTCTCTCTCTCTCTCTCTCTCTCTCTCTCTCTCTCTCGCGCGCGCGCGCGCGCGCGCGCGCGCTCTCTCTCATTCCGACTTGGATGTGTGTATGTGGACGTATGCAATGAGGGTGGCCAAGGTGCGAGGAATAAATAATTGATTGTATACGTGAATGTCGTAAATGCACGTAAAAGATTAGAGAAACATTGAAAACATGTATTGCATGCATTAGCTCCCACAAAGCATTTGGTCATGCACTCACCATCCTTTCCCCATCCGCCCGCGTGAATGTCGTCTTCCTCATGTTTGTGGTGTGCAGTGCAAATGACAACAACTGATACAAGATTGTCCAAAAGAGGATGGACAATGCATCTCGCAACTTCGTCTTTATCAAAGAGGAAGACGGCGGCCTTGACGCGTATCATCCGTGAATACGGGAATAGGTATCCCATAGCCACCACACACGACGTATACATGAACGAGGTGTTGCAACTCACTCGCAACGATTTCCTTTTACTCGTTGTAGAACGTCAGTGGTTAAACGACAATGTCATCAACTTTTACCTCAATCTCATAGCATTGGACAACTGGTGTAGAATACAACACGTAGAATGTGACGCGGAGAATGAGATAGTTATTAGAGAAGGAAAGGGTCGCATTCCTAGAGTATCGGTGCTGAGCTCATTTTTGTTCGTCAAACTTTTCGACAATGAAATGAGATATAGAGGTCGAGAGGTAAAACGCTGGTGTCAGGACGTTATTATAAGTGACATGGACTTGATTATTGCTTCTTTCCATATCGAACACAAGAACCACTGGACCCTTGTCGTGGCTGACTTCAGGAGGAGGAAGTTCGAATTTTACGACTCCCTCGACCCCGACATGGAGTTGGCGAGAAAGGTGACCGGCGGGKTTGCAAAGTTTATATTCGAAAGATCGAAATCGCAAGGCAAAGAGGTGGACATGAAACCATTCAATCATATATGGAATGTAGAGGGCATTCCGAAGCAACACGACACGAACGAGTGCGGGGTCTTTGTGCTCACGTACGCATCACTGTTGACACGGGGCCAACTTCCACCTTTCTTTTTCACCGCTGATGATATACCCGCAATACGTCGTCGAATGGCTTTGGACACAGTGGTTCGTGAGTAGTGTGTATATGATAATCCATAATATGATTTGGAGGGGGGACGGATGCCACAAGATGGTTTGTGACAAAAACAAGGTATATAAGGTGTCAAATATTACTCGATACGCTGTGCCACTTGACCCTTGCAATTTACCACATATCCCTTACACCTCACCCCTTACACCTTACCCCGTTCACCTCACACCTTGCCCCTTACACCTTACCCCTTACACCTTACCCCTCACCCCTTACACCTTACACCTTACACCTTACACCTTACCCCGTACCCCATACACCAAACATCTCTTTGTAATGGTTTTTGCACCTAAATCAGCTCAAAAATGACAATTTCAATTTCGTTCAAAAAATATAAAATGTTCGTTTTGACGAAATCGCTGTTCTAACGCAATATCCGTGGGACCACATCATGCGGCACTGGCTGCATAATACCCATGAGATAAAACTAGGTCCTCCGGGGTGTGAGTCCCACCGGTCCGGTATCATAGGCAAGGTGCAGAAAAAGCAGGAACAAAGGGATATGCTAGGGGGAGAGTGAGGGATAGACGGATAGGTCGAAGAGCCTGGGAAAGATGACGGGGTAGTTGTCGCTTCAAGAGGGGTTGCCATCTCGCGCCTCAGTGCTTCCCTTGCGGATGACTTGTACTTCTCCGTAGTGAGGCTCCGTCAGGGGCGAAGCTTCTTTCCACGGAATGAGTCGTTCATTCATTGGGCACTTCTTTGGTGGTTGGAGGCGAGTCAGTCCGTCCACATTTCTGTGCTGCTTGGTCTCGCGGTGGCGGATGTCGAAATCGTAGTCTTGCAACCTCACTGCCCACCTTCCCAAGGTTCCCGTATAATTCGTGTTGTTCCGTAAGGATAACAACGGTTGATGATCCGTCACGAGAACGAACTTCTGGCCGTGGAGATACGGTCGAAAGTGTTGGATTCCCCACACAACCGTCAAACATTCACCTTTGCAAGCTTCGTAATTCGCTTGTGTCTGGCTCGGTGTCTTCGACCCGTATTCGATAACGTGCTCCTTTCCGTTTGTTCCCTCCTGAGTCAGCACCGCCGATATCGCTTGTGGCTGCCAATCGGTTTGCAGAGCGAAATGTTTCGTTGGATCTGGGCGTGCCAGGATCGACGCAGTAGTCAGGATCCTTTTGAGCGCCTGAAAAGCCGCCTCGCACTCCGGCGTCCAGATCAGTTGTTCTTCTTTCTTCAGTAAGTTGGTCAGAGGTTTGGCGACACGAGCAAACCCTTGGAAGAACCGTCGATAATATGAGGCCAAGCCGAGGAAGGCTCGAACTTGAGTGAGCGTGACAGGCACCAGTGTTTCTTGCACTGCTGCCACTTTCCTTGGATCCGGTTTCAAGCCATCCACTGTGACGATGTACCCCAAGAATGAGATTTCCGAGAGGAAAAACTCGCTTGTCTCCAAGGTTACTTTGAACCCCACGTCTTTCAATGCATGCAAGACCCACTCAACATGTTCCACATGGTACTTGTATGTTTTGAAAAAAAACAAGATATCATCCATATACACAATCACACAAAAAATTACCAGTGGTTGGGTCAGGCGGGTTTTGTTAACGAATTCTGCGAAAGCCAAATTCATGGCTCGCTAGAACGTCGTGGGTGCGTTGCATATTCCCACAGGACATCTCACCCACTGCCACGTGCCCTCGAACAAGACAAAGGTTGTTTTGGGCCTGTCTTCCAGTCGTATTGCAACATGGTGGAAACCGTATCGAATTTCGGAAAAACTTGCGCAGAGCTGATGACATCTAGAAGACCGTCGGTACGGGATAAGGGATAAACGTCCTTGGTGGTTATGGCATTTAATTTTCAGTAGTCAACGCAAACGCGGACAGTCCCATTTCATTTCGGCACGACAACCACCGGGAACGCCCTAGGACCCAAGGAGGGTTCCACCCACCCGAGACGCTCAAACTCCTGTACTTTTTCCAAGGGTAGCTGTCGTTCTTTTAATGAGTATCGGTACGGTCGTCTGTGTATTGGGGCGTGGTCCCCGACATCAATCTCGTGCCTTATCAGGTGTGTCGGTCCTATATCATGGTCTTGAATACTGACCGCCTCGGGGAAAGCCTGTATCACCGCAAGAAGGAGGCGTCAATATTCGTTGGGTACATGAGCAGGAATCTGAATATCGATACTCCTGCTAAGAAGGGAGACCGTTGATGTGACAGTTGGGACCCGAGCGGTTTCCTTTTGGGAAGCTCCAAACAGGGAGTTGTCGGTTTTTACCGAGTGTACGGTGGCTATGAGTTGACTATCTGTCGGAGTGACCGGTTCGTTTTCCGTTTCGGTTTCCCCATCGATTTTAGCTTCGATCAAGGGTTCCACTAAAAAGGACTGCAGGAGTTCCCTCAGGCCCCATGAGTTTTCAGGGGTCGCGGGCTGAAACTCTATCCCTTCGTCCAAAAGCATGGCGGCCTTGACGTCTGTGAGTAGGGTTCGCGGGGCCCTAAACGATAGGTCGCATAGCCCCCTAAGATCGGCAAATCTCTCCGAGAGGGGGTCCGTTCCACGATACACAGGGACGCAGGGGGTTCCGAGAGGTGAATTATTTGTGACACCCTCAACAATGGTTCCCCTGTCACGGTAGAGAAGAACAACTAACCCCAGCTAGACTCACTCTAGCTAACATTTGTCGATGCGTATCGCCACAGTTGGCGGAACCGGTCTTGAATTCGTATCGGATACCGGTCGGGTTCGTCCGCATCCTCGGTTCTTGTCGAGGGTCTCTCTTCGCCCATTGACACCCATCGAACCATGTTGACTCTGTGAACCTCGGTGGAAATGTGAAGGGTGTTGTGCGCGTACACGTATGGTCATTCTTATGGGTATCGTTTGGGGCTTAGTGTGGGCCGAGGTGAGCACCATCTTAGAACTGTCAAAATGCATCTGCGCGCCTACCGCCGCCTGCCACGGGATTCCTAGCAATACATCATACGCCTGCACATCTAACAAAATTGCATCACACAAACAGTGCACCCGCCTGACTCTTATAGGAACATCCATAATATGTCCCTTGCATTGAATACTATCTTATGTGGCCGATACATA